CTCAAGAGTAGTAGAGAGTCCAGCCTCTCTTGAGGAGTAAGGTTCCAGAGCCCAAGCTGTGCGTGGAGGTGAGCCTGACTATATCTAGTCGGTACCTCTCAACCTCCTGCACAAGCTTGGGCTCCTTCCCCACCAGTGAGGTGACATTCCATGTCTAGTCTCCGTGTCCAGAGATCGGGTCGTCGGGGCCCCTGCCTTCGACTGCTGCCCAATTCACTGTGCACCGGCCCCTTACTTGTACCAGCATGAAAATAAAAATCCTTAATGCTTTATTTTTCACTCTAAAATAGATATTTTTGTCTTTTTATCTGAGGTGAAACCTGGTGGTTAGCCAATATGCACAGACAACACAGATGAACATTTAAACCCACAGTTTTTATTGGGATTCTAAAAACTATACAGTGATTATTTTGTGATGGAGAATAGTGCTGAGAAAAAAAAAAAAAAAAAAAACTCCAAAAATGAACATGTTGTATTGTTGTTACTTGAGCTGTTGTAGAGTTACCAGTGAGAGATGAGTAAACTACAGTGGAAAGATGAACCAGGTCTGACTGGATGTAGGCTACAGTCAAAACACAAAGACAGCATCTTCTGGCCGCTGCAGGGATTCCTGTTGGTTGGACCATCTGTCCCTAGAAGGGAGATTATTTTAAGACAGACAAGGTAATCTGAAATTCAATGCAAGATTGTGTTGTATACTACACTTTTCTTCATCACCTGACCTCCAGCGAACAGCAGTGACTGCCTGTGTGTGCCTGTTGGTATGAAAGTCATCACAGGATGCTACACAGATGTAGCTATAGCCTCTGTAACATGATCAAGTCAACAGAGCAGGCAGGCACTGTTAGGAAACTTTTGAACTAATCAATGAGACCTTGTCAGTCAGAGCACACAAAGGTACTCCCAGACTTTGAGCTGTCCTAGCTCTCTTGCATTGTAACAAACAGATCTGGGTAAGTGATTCACAGAAACTGTGACTTTCCACTGAGCTTTAAAGAGCAATTTAAACCCAACAGCAAATATTTGCTGATCTTTTGCTAATTAATTGTGAATGCCTTTTTTTGTAAACTGAATATTTGTGAGTTTTGGACACAAACTGTGACAGGCATTTTTCACAGATAAATTACTCCAGAAAGTAATTTGTTGCCGTCCTTACATTTCTGGAGTGATGTCACAGTGTCCTCCAGGGTGTGACATACACCGTGACATCACTGTTGGGTGTGGTCAGAGGTGCCTTTCTGCCTGTTTTTTTTTTCTTCAGCTCATATTATCAAAAACATATTAAACTGAATTCATATTTCTGTACATCTGCCATCTGTTTACAAACTATTTTTGACTAGATTGTGTTCTTAAAATGAACGTCCCAATGTTCTTCAGTTGGGAACTCCTGACAAAGTTCATTTTAAGCAGCCTGACTTGTTCCAATATTCTATCTTGCAACTGACTGATCAGCCTAAACGGAGTGCATTAAACTAACAGTGGGCCAGTCAGCAGAAGCCAGCGCCACTAACGTGATGTGTCCGTTCAAATTTATCTGACTGTAGTCTGCATTCAGAACATCCCACTACTGTGGGAGAGCAACACGGTCAAATACAACCAGAGGCACCATTTCCACTCATTAACAGTTGGTACTGAATGACAGCCATGCTCACTTGATCTTGTAAAATGATCTAATTAAAAATGATGAGTGTGGAATATAGACTTAACAGCCACTCACCGGGCTATTGTTCATTTTAATTTTTTTGTTAAAAAAAAAAAAAAAAAAAGAGAAGCATTAGTCACATTCATAAAGAAACAAATGGCACATTGATTTCCTAATTTAAAAATAAAGTGGTGCTCCAGGAACTTTCTGAGGAGTTAAATAAATTACTACCATAAATGTTACATACAAATCTGGAGTAGTATATACAAAGGAGTTATTAAATCTACAATTTCAAATGTTATGTTCAACAAAAACAGCAGTAGAACATATTTTACATAGCAGGGTTTATGTTAAGCGTGGGTCTGAGTGGTTTTTATGTGCAAAAGAGGGGTAGGGGGTTGACAAACCATTAAAAAAGTGACAATGGTTGAAGCCTTCCAGCTAAACACAGCTGTACAGTTTCTGTACAGCACTGTAACAGACTAGACTGGTCTATGTACAGGTGTGTCAGTGCTGAAGATGACTGTCGACATGAGGTGACTGTTGATGCATGTGAAACAAGCGCAGTGAGCCTCCCCTGCATCAGATTTGTATCTGAGACAGTAAGAGACAATGATGGGACCTTGGATGCATGTAACCAGTGTTCACACACATTTGTTCACATTCTCTTGTCCCAGCATCATTAAAGGGAAACTATTTTTCAGCTTAGCTCTTATTCTAATGGTGTTCATTTTGACTCCGGGTCATGCTAACTTTGCAACACTGCCTCCATTTGTTACATTTCAGAAAACAGGAGGTCCAATTTTAGTAAGTTTGATTTTCAGCGTAAGCTGTGCAAATCTCCTAAAGCTTTCCAGGTAAATTTAACAGAGATCATTTCCTTATCTTGAAATCCAAACAAAAGTAAACAAATTAGCCCACTATATTAGCTATGAGAGCTGACTGTGCTGTCTTCCAGGGTGATCACCCAGCTAACAAAACTAGCTGCCTGCTTGCTCATTTGCACATACCAGTGTGTTTACATGTGTAATGTTGTGGGTCACTGCTAAAGTAAGCTATATGGATAACCACGCAACTAGTCTGCTAAACCAGCTGGGTCTTCCTGATGACCAGATGACCTTGCAATTAGCACTAGTAGTTAATACAGGGGGCTAATTTAGATGAAGACAAGACTTCAACGCAAAAGAAATCCCTCCTTTTCCTTCAGCGTCCCTTAAAAATGTGAATGTTAATAGTGGTTGGATTAAAAAACAAACAGGTGAAGAGCGCAGCAGAGTTTAGCTTAGTTTCACCTTCTTTGTAAACACTCAGTGACAGTTCACAGACACTCCTGGCTCTCCTGGTTAGATCTCTATGACAGATTCATGGCTTTCACAGTATATCGTCACCATCTGCTGAGGGCAGCTGATGAGCATTGATCTCTCTCTGGCACAAATTTGAGATTTTCCAAAAGAAAAAAAGACAAGGAAATCCTTCATGAACCATTGAGGAGCAACACACTCTACTTCCTCTAAGCCTAATTATACTTCGAGTGGGCTTCATCAGACAGTGAGAGGCAAAGACAGCAGAAACCTCCGAGGACAAAGACAGAGCATTTGCTGTCACCGTGTGTGTTCCTCAGGGGCTGTTTTGGTCAGTCAGTCAGTCTTAGATCCTTCTCTGTAGCAATATTAAGTTCTGGGGCATGGCTGGGGTGATGGACGACTGCAGCTCCTCCGTCATTCTTCGCAGAGAGGTCTAAAGGGCCAACAGGGATAGTGGGAGGGAGAGAGGGTTGTGTGGAGAGTCTGTAAAGATCTTCATGCTAGTCAAAGCTGCAGGACACCTCACAGAGATGCAATGACATGCTGTGCATACAGACATCTAGGGCACATAGTGGTCAGACCATCGCGGAGGTGAGAGGACAGTGAACGGTTCTTCAGGAACATTTTTTCTTTTCTTTTTCTTACTTTTTCTAGAACAAAAACACAAATATTGTGGTGCGACATTTTTAGTTCAACATTTGTGAACAGAACAGATCTCAAGTGGTGAAAGGCCCGTTCCTCTCTCTGTTTTGCTGGGATTGGCCAACAGAGGCATCTGTCAGGTGCACAACACTGCTTATTCGTTCCTAGTTCCCTTGCTCCTTTAAGAGTCCAGCCTCATTACTCCCTCTAGGCGTCTGAGAAGCAGCTCTGAACACTGTCCATCCACAGCTGTGCATTCACGCTGTCCTGGGCACAGAAGTTGTACACCCGTTTGGTCGTCTTGAGCTAAAATATATATATAAAAAAAGAAAAGAAATATAAAAAGATTTGTTGCAGCTCTGTGCACACATCCATACACTAACACAAAACTTAGGGACAGAGATCACCAAATTCACTGTGGGACACATTTTTGCCTTCATACCACTTCAGGATAAGCATGAATTTCCCTGTTCTTTGGCGATGATGCTTTTCTGTTGTAGATGCGGCTTGGGTAGTGGCAGAAAAATTTTATCATGTATACACTTGCTCTGGCCTTGTCATGTGACTGCAGTAAGAGGCTACAGCTCAGCGTGACTCACATCAAAGAAGGCTTTCTCCTCGATGTTTTTCGGTGCTCCATAGGCAGGTATTCCAGGAGCAATGGACTCCACCTCAGCCAGCTCAATCACCCCTTTGCACTCCTTGTCCTGCCTGCTGTCGTAGTATCTCAGCTGGGAATAAGGACACATTGTTGGAAACGAACCATTCTCCGTGCACAGGTTATAGACTTGGATTCAATCATTGCTCCACATATTCATTTTCAGTCCTGCTTACCTGGTGTTTTGTTTTGTCCAGCACAAACCACCGTGGTTTCCATGGTTTCAACAATGCCCCCCTTTTGTACAGGATGCCTTCAAAACTCCTGATGGGGAAAGGTGAAAAAAAAAAAACCCCACACATTTCACATTTTCGGTATTTATCTGACACAGGTAATTTGATGGTGGCCAAACTAGTGACATCTGAGTTAGTTGCACAGTGTAAGACAACAAGGAAACATGAAGTTACTTCATCCTTGGCCAGTAAAAGCCATGACTTTTGTTCAAAGATGCAGCAGAGCACATTGCTCACAGGGAGCAGTTCCATTCTGGAGTGCCAGCGGCGTGCGGTACAGACCTGTTCTCACTCTCCGTGCTCTGGAACTGGCTGTAGAGGGTGCTGGTACTCGGCCGACCAGCGACAGGCGTGGAGGTGGCCCTGGCCTCACAGTCCAGAGCCAGGTTGATAGAGGATCCCATGCCGCTCTCCTGCAGGTAGACACCCTGAGAACGCCGCTGGTGGCTCAGGTTGGATGGCATTAGGAGGGAGCTGGAGAATGACGGCTGTTGAGGAATAAGATAAAAATGATCAGTGTGAGCTTCCAAAACTTCTCCACAGGGCATCTCTGCACAAACACAGGTGGTTTATTTGCTTCAGAAGCACAGTAGAATTTCTGCAACTGGCAAAGTCAGTCTCATTCTTTTGAATCACACCTTTAAAAAAAAAAAACAAACTGGCTGCATTACCATGCAGATGATGTATTGTTCCAGTGCGACATATTACTCACCTCAACCAAGTCTGTGTACGTTACTTTATCATTAAAAAAATGCTAATGCTGAAACCTGCTTGATTGATATCTGAAACGCGCAAAAATCACAGCAGGGTCCTTTAAGTCCTTAGCTGCTACTTAACTGCCAAAAGCTGTCAGTGTGAACCATGTTCCAGTTATCTTGATCTTGTCATTGAACTGAATCTGTCATACAGTTGTTAACTGTCAAATGTGTTATAGATGGTGTCTAAGATAGAGGTGATGATCAACAGCACACAAATGGAAACAGTGTGCTGGAAGAGTTGTCACATCAAATGTAAGATTACACACAGACTCTATTCACATATTTAGCTGCATAGAATATATCTGTTTCTTCCTGATGCTCCAGATGTAATATAGTGAGGGCACATCAGCCCATTCACTCCTTCACTTGGCTGATCTGAGCTCACATAATATTTATCTGTGACTGAACACAATTGCATCCAGTTTGACTCATGACTCAGTTTGTGCTCTAGTCGTGCAGTTCTATGGCTAAAATACAGAAATCATCTTAGGACCTTGCTCTCCAGTTTGGTCTCAGTTCTTTGTGTGGTCTTGATTTTATCCCACACGTCCTTCCATTTTTCTGACGTCTGGCCGAGCTCAGCCTCCAGATTCTGTAGATCCAGCAGCAGCTTGGTGATGGCATCGGGCACGACCTTGTTCAGGTTGTCGTAACATGGCCACACGATGTGCCGCTGTGACTTGGGCCCGGTGGTGTCGGGTTTCTCCAGCGTCTCCTCAGCCATGTGCTCCTGCCGGCCCCTCAGCTCCCAGTCGTAGGACGGCCCCTCCGACAGAGTCTCCTCCATGTAGAAGTCCCACACCTTCAGGTTGGAGATGAAGGTATATGGCTTCAGCACCTGGAAAACACAATCATCTACTTTATATTCACCAACTAATGAGTCCGCTTTGTTTCAGTGTAGCTTTAAATCAACTATGATCTTCGTTAACATTACATATTGTCTATCAGTGTAGCTTTAAATCAACTATGATCGTCGTTAACTAACATTACATATTGTCTGTTCTTCAAACCACTATTTGTCTCTGTCTCCTGCTGCCATTTATTTCATGACATTTCTTTTTTTAGTATCACTATGATGGAACAGACAAATGGTTGGGTGTCTGTGCAGGGGCCTCACCTCCTCCTCTTCAGGTGAGAACATGTAGTTGTAGAAGATGGGGGTTTTCTTGTTGAGTCTGTCGATGTAGTCCCACACAGACCTGCACACCTGAGGGCTTTTCCTCTCACCTTTCTCCTCAAAAAGCACTCCTGCACACACAAAGGACTTGTCAGAACTACAGAAACTGCAGGTATGACTGTGACCCTCTTTCTGACGATGAATGGCAGTGGAACTACTTCTCAAAACAAAATGTCTCAGAGACGGACAAATGTCCTTACCATGCTCGATGCGTTCATAGTCAGAGTCGAGAAGGAAGGTGCGAAAGCGGTTGGACACGTAGTGGTAGGCCAAGAACTTCAGGTAGTATTGACTGAACTCAAACTCCATGGGGAACTGGAGGTGGGTCTGATTGTGGAAAGACAAAAACACAGGGAAGGAGACTGTGATCACACATTTCATTCATTCACTTTTCTTCTACCAGCTTCTACAGATGCACCCACTCAGTATTGCTCTTCCCAGCTGAATGGGTTTCAGTAGGCATGCAGTTCAATATTTGTCAATATTTGTTGACAGTCCACAACAGGCATATTCTCAAAATGACACCAAGTATCAACAAAAACCAAGCAGTAAAGTAGCTGCTACTTATTGCTTTTTAATTCTCATATTTATTAAATTACATTTCTATTTTTCATGTTCCTCTCTTAACTAGTTAGCAGCCAACACAGAGTGCGATCACAATATAAACTCAATATAAAGTGCACAGTACAACAGTAAATACAGGACCCGACCATGGCCAGGTCTAGCCTGTCTGATCCAGGGACACAGTGGAAAAAAAAGTCAACACACCTTTGTTTTAACCCAGTTTAATGTGTTTGAACATTTGTTATTTAAAACTCTTGGAGAAATGCTAATTATTGGATCTTTACTGTATATTTTAGGGCAGACTAGAGGTGTAAAAATAGACTGATACAAAGCGATCCAAGAGTCAGATTGAAGGTTGCATCTGTGGAAAACCACTAATGCCTCTCGTGTCTGTGTCTGTGTTCAAACGCCTCTTTCTTAATGATGCAGGTCCAGGAAAAATGCCACGTACAGTACAGACAGCTACAGGAGCAAACAGTGCTAGTTTTAGCAGCTACCTCGAAGTGCAGAACATGGAACGCTTGTGTCGAGTAGCCTGTACCATGAGTACCACAGACCTCGCATTTAGAAGTGATATGGAGGCGACACATTGTTGAACCAATGGAAACAGTACAGTCTGCTTGTGAGGGCAGTCAGCTTGAAGCAAGTAACAGTGTTAGTGTTAGCAGCTACTTTCAGAGCACATCATCTGATAATTCCACCTGGTTGGGTTGAAGTCAGTAGCTAAAGTTATAGGCTAAGCTATTTCCTTTGCAAGGTCACTACTGAGTTGTTGAAAATGTGAGATTTGGGCAAATGACTGTCACTGAAGCTGAGGCACACAATAACGAGTCAGCAGGATTTAGGTGAAAAATGAATTCCAGCTCTGTATGATGAGGTGAAACAGCAGCTGGAGGTTTACTGTTCACCAGTGCTCATAGTTTACTATTGTTAGAAAGAGTTTACGTCATATTTAACTATTTGGCTTTTGATGCTTGAAATACAAAACTTTTTTGAGGAAACACTGACTCTTTTTAATTTTATACCCTTAAAAGGTACTTTAGTGTATGTATAGTCTTTCAAATAAAACCTAAATTAAAACTGAATATCTTCTGAATTGTACTGTATCATAAGGTTTTTGTGTCTAATCATGGATCGTGTATGGAGATATGTATCGCATCGTGTGAGGGGGAGCGATACACACCCCTAGTCCAGACCTAAACTCAATAACAATCAACTACTGCCTTCTCATGAGCCATTGTTACACAGATCAAGTAGATAAACCTGTGGAGTAACAAGAACAGAAAAACTGAAGCAAGGAAAAACAAAACATATCCAAGGAACATGTCCAGAGAAGTCTAAACTACTCTCCCTTTCTCAAACACAATACCACGACCACTGCCTCAAATTAAAAGTCAGAGCAGGATTCAAAAGGAGACTGAACTTGAGCCGCTGATGTCTCAGTACTGCCCAATGTGCCCCCACCATACTCCCTTCTCCACCTTTAGTGTAGGAAAATTAATGTTATGTTGCATCAAAATACACTCTAATAACGATATGTGCACTACAAAATGTATCAGCATTTGCAGTTTAGTTGCATAGGCTATGTAGGAATGTAATTTTTAGAAGAGAGTGTGTGTCTTTTTGACCAAGACTGGCCCTGAAACGCAGAAAAACAAGTCAGAGGTACTATTCAGGAGAGCATGAAAGAGTAACAGACATTTGTCTGTCAGCTTTATTATTTGAGAGATTTATAAAGTAAGATGAACATGTTCTGGCTACAAACACAAACGACAGGTTTGTGTAGCATGTGCCCTCAGTCCACACCATGTCCACCTTCTTTTTATAATCAAAGCTCTGATGTGTCAGACAGCAGGGTCACAGCTCTGGGGCCACTAAAGCTAAACATTTTGCATGTTGTAAGGACAACAAAATGCACATCACTCATCACCAAACAGACAGTGATATATACAGTGAGAGAAAGCAGAAGAGAGCTGACCTTTAGTTTATCATCAGGTGCTTTATTGGAAGTGAAAATAAATGGATGTGTGCAATGCAGCCCTTCTAGACCCACCTGGTGCACACAGTCGAGGAACTGCAGGAAAACGGGGGTGAAGCCACTGCTCTGGCTGCCCAGCGTGTGTGCTCCACGGTGACCGAACCTGTGGCCGAACGACAGCCACTCCTTCTCCACCAGTAGCCGGAAGCCGTCAAACGTTCTGTAGTAGGGATCAGATAGCAGCTGCACCAGAGACACCACCTGCACAAAGACAGCATGCCACACTAATCCTCACTCAGACAACAGTTGTCTGCAAAAACGTGAGACGTTTCTGGATGTCAGTCGAACCTGTGTGGTGACGTCCCAGCCGTCCTCCAGGCTGACCATGACTGATGAGCCCGTATGTAGAAGTTCCACCACCAGGACAGACACCTGGAGCACTCTGTGCAGCTGTACGCACACAAACAGTGTCAGAACCAGTAACACAGCAAAATCACAAAATGATCCAGGACAGTAAATGTACTGCCCTGGACACACACACACACACAAAATGATGGGAAACCAGTGAGCACTAACCAGAGCCATCCACTCAGACTCTTCCAGGCAGCGCAGGAAGCTCATGTTGGGATCAGAGGTCGGGGAACTCGGCACACAGGCCTTCATCAGTTTTTTAAAGCTGTTTTTCACCTGCCGTACATCACACACCTCGATGGGAACCACCTCCCACTGCTGGAACGAGTCCTGCTTTCCTCCCTGAACACAAAACAGTACCAGTTAGCTCACCATTCACTTCATCTGTCTTCCTTTGTGCTTGTATAGTCCATAACCACATGTAACAGGTAAAGGTGGGCATATAGTTAACAAGTGGCTAACAGCTTCTAAGTCTGAACAGGCCACTCTTAATGACTGTTTCCACAATTCGCACAGATTTCTAGTCCTAGACAGTCGGGAAGGAGCACACACACCTCAGGACTGATCAAACACACTGGACAACACAATGACTGTAACGACGAAGTTCTGGCAGCAGATGAGCCTGTAAATCCTGCAAGATCACACCAATTCTCATGTCTTTGTACCAAAGCAATTATGGATGGAAAACTTTGATTTAACAACATAATGCAATAACTACCAGTGGCACGATGTCTTTAAAGGCATATAAGGTCTGAGCAGGACATTAACAGAAGGTTAAAATGATCAGTCAGTGCAGTAAACTGCTGTTAGGGGTGTTAACAAGGCGGCGCTGTGATGACTGCATCATTACAGGGGGATACATGGTAAGAGCAGGAGCCGTGCACAGACCTGTCACGGATTGGCCATGGTTCAGAAGAGAGCTGACCTTTAGTTTATCATCAGGTGCTTTATTGGAAGTGAAAATAAATGGATGTGTGCAATGCAGCCCTTCTAGACCCACCTGGTGCACACAGTCGAGGAACTGCAGGAAAACGGGGGTGAAGCCACTGCTCTGGCTGCCCAGCGTGTGTGCTCCACGGTGACCGAACCTGTGGCCGAACGACAGCCACTCCTTCTCCACCAGTAGCCGGAAGCCGTCAAACGTTCTGTAGTAGGGATCAGATAGCAGCTGCACCAGAGACACCACCTGCACAAAGACAGCATGCCACACTAATCCTCACTCAGACAACAGTTGTCTGCAATAACGTGAGATGTTTCTGGATGTCAGTCGAACCTGTGTGGTGACGTCCCAGCCGTCCTCCAGGCTGACCATGACTGATGAGCCCGTATGTAGAAGTTCCACCACCAGGACAGACACCTGGAGCACTCTGTGCAGCTGTACGCACACAAACAGTGTCAGAACCAGTAACACAGCAAAATCACAAAATGATCCAGGACAGTAAATGTACTGCCCTGGACACACACACACACACAAAATGATGGGAAACCAGTGAGCACTAACCAGAGCCATCCACTCAGACTCTTCCAGGCAGCGCAGGAAGCTCATGTTGGGATCAGAGGTCGGGGAACTCGGCACACAGGCCTTCATCAGTTTTTTAAAGCTGTTTTTCACCTGCCGTACATCACACACCTCGATGGGAACCACCTCCCACTGCTGGAACGAGTCCTGCTTTCCTCCCTGAACACAAAACAGTACCAGTTAGCTCACCATTCACTTCATCTGTCTTCCTTTGTGCTTGTATAGTCCATAACCACATGTAACAGGTAAAGGTGGGCATATAGTTAACAAGTGGCTAACAGCTTCTAAGTCTGAACAGGCCACTCTTAATGACTGTTTCCACAATTCGCACAGATTTCTAGTCCTAGACAGTCGGGAAGGAGCACACACACCTCAGGACTGATCAAACACACTGGACAACACAATGACTGTAACGACGAAGTTCTGGCAGCAGATGAGCCTGTAAATCCTGCAAGATCACACCAATTCTCATGTCTTTGTACCAAAGCAATTATGGATGGAACCAGCTTCCACTGTTTATATCTACAGTATCTATCCATGTTTTAAACTTCAATTTGCACTGAAAATGACAAAAAAGGAGGAAAAAGGTGCAGTGTGTGTGAGACCTGGATGGAGAGGCATGGACAATGAGGACTGTACAGCTGCAGCGGAAACTAAAATGTATCAGTCCTGTTGTGGTATGTGTTTGAATTAAGTTAATGTTGTTGAGGTGTTCATTCTTCTGCCACAGCTAAGTTTCCCCCCCACTTTAGTTGTCCAGTGCACTTTGACACTACCGTCCTTTTTGATGACCGTTCTTGAGACTTCATGGTTACCTTTTATTTATTTATTTACGGGTTCATCTCCCTTGGGCAACACTCGCATGGCGTCACTGGTCTCCAATTTTAGTTGTAAATATTAAGCATGTTTTAAAAAATCTTAATCTTAAGCAGTCGTTAAGTGTGTGCGCACCTTAAGATCTCATCCCTGCTGATGCACTATAAAATAATGAGTAAAAACAGTCCTACACTCTAAATGGGAAGAAGGACAAATTGCCATGAAGAACTCTTAGTTTCCTGGGAATATTTTCCATGCCCTTTTCATGTGAGGCTTTACATCCGTATGAGCATGACCAAAGGGCCTGACAGCGTACAATTTAAGGAGCATTATCTGTCATAGATTACCTTAACTTGGCCCTTGTCTCCGATAATATAGAGGTAGGCCTTTTGCTGGCGGAAGGACAGCACCTCGCTTAGCCCCCCGTTGGGCTGTGGACACTCTTTACCAGCCAGACGTGTCCCCACATCTGGGTTGTAGGCACTTAGACGCCCGGTACCTCGGATACTGCCCCATTTACCTGAAATACACACACACACACACACAGACAAAGTAGTTTTTTTTTTTTTTTTTCATAAATCATGACATAACTAAATCACCAAACCTATCGTCCTTGTTAAATGACCATTAAAGAATGATTCCAGTTTACCTGTAATAAACTGGAATTGCCCTTTAACACACACTGATGTGTGTAAAGTCCACCGCTACTAATAGCCATGCTGCTAGACAAGGCAGAAATGACTGTGGACTATCCAGTGCAGTCTGCTACATCTAGCTGACTGACAGCTACATGATGATTAAACTGACTGTTGTTGACATTCAACAGAGAGGAATCAAACAGGAAACAACAAACAGACGTGAGCAGACACAGCAGCCTTCTGATGAACACAAGCGGGAACATCAGACCATTAGTCCGCAGAGACAGCACACAACCAGGGACAACGCCAAACACCGTTGCGACTGTTAAAGAGATCTGATTGGTTAGACAGAGGTGGAGGGAAGGGTGTGACCTACTGTACCTCTAGGAGGGTTCCTGGCCTTGCCAGACACTTTGGGCTGAGAGAGGGAGATGACTTTCGCCTTTTGACCCAGAGCTAAGGTCAAATGACAGAGATGGCCCATTAACCAACAATGCCACACAATGGAGGCTGGTATCACTCGCGTGCTCTCTCTCTCTCTCACACACGCACACATACAGATCCTAAACACGAGCTACAAGGGATGGACCGACTCATTCATCATCCTGCGGGTCCTGCCCCAGTTTCAGTAACAGATTTCAGGCTTAAAACACAATTTACTCATTTTGTTTTTGAAACCAGGACTGTGAAGGACCAAGTGATACAGGAGCAGCGTGGAGTCTCACCTCCTCTGCTGAACGTTCCAGGAACACCCTCTTTGGTGCCCATCACCTGTTTCATCAGGGCACCGATCTTGGGCTGCCTCAGTTTATCTGATGAGTCTGTGGATTCAACAAAGCAACAGCTCTGTAACTTCAGGTTAGATGCTAAAGTGTCACCTCAAATGTGTTTTAAGATGTTATTATCAAAGGATCTCACGGCAGGGATTCTGGCTCCCCTTAGAATAACATGTCATGTCAGTGTGTGTTCATCCACCCACCAGAGGTGCTCATATGTGTGGAGGTGAAGCTGCTGAGTGTGTTCCTGCCACTGCTCTCAATGTAAGAAGGCATGGAGCTGATGATAGCCTGCAGGTATTTCTCTTGCTCTAGACTGGTGGAGTCTGCCTGGGAGGGCCCTGCACAGAAAGAAAACACATGAATAAACCTTGGTGTATTAGGTAAGAGGTTTTTGTTGCAGGTTCAATGAAGTGGCATATGAGCAGCGAAAAACTGGTTCCTCTACACTTTCTGGCAAGGGCATCTTCATCTCTTGCATATAATCCTGATCACTAGGGTCATATCATCGGTTTGTTTTCATGGCACTGTACTCTGTACTTCTTTGGACTCCTCCTCCAGTGGACTGTAAAGGACTGATAAGAAAACGTATCGACATACTGTACGCATGAAACCAATCAAGACATTTCCAAAAAAAACATCAGCAACATTCCACGGTTATTTAAAAGTTCAAAGTTATAAAGATCATAAACCTGATGCATAAAGCAGACTTGTTTTTCTTACCTGCAGCAGGAGCATTGGGAGCCTTAAAGAAGCCCACGACCCCCTTAGCGTGGAGGCCTGCAGAGCGCAATAGGACGGCCTTTGTTCTTGAATTCCTCCAGCAAACCACAGGGAAGCGATTCTGTCGGTAGCACCGGCAGATTCTCTGGATGGTTGAGTCTAGGATGCTCTGTGGCACTATCAGCAGGCCAGGGTAGCTGTGACACAAACACAGACACACACACACAGTGTATTAAGCACAGCCGAGATGCTATCCATGTACATTACCAACCTGTCACTGCTCATCTGTCTGTCTCCCCCATGGGCTCTTACCTCCTGCAGACGGTGTACATGCGGTTAACTGTCGTAATCCTGAAGGGCTCGTTTTTGGAGCGTGTTAGGCTGTTACTGAGCGTGCCCAAACCCAGACGCTGGTAGTCACGACAACAGGCTCGCTCCACCACGTTGCCCATGGTCTGTTTGTCTGATGAGCGGATGGTGGAAGAAAGGGTGAGGGAGCTCTGGTCCACATCCTCTGACACTGAAGAGACACAGGAGAGCTCACTGCATGGTCCTCAATTCAAAAAGTACAGATGACATATCTTTGTCAGCTGGGGTAAGTCTAGTTGAGATTTCAGTGAAGTGGAAGTTAAGTTCAAGTGTGCACCCTTTAAGCAGTTGAACTATTAGTGTTGTGTAAGCAGTTAGAATGTCAGCAGAAGTCTCAAGAGGGGGGGTAGTTGAACTGTTAGTTGATGTACAAACTTGAGAAGGCCTGAAAATTGATTACCTGAGATTTCATCCTCATCTAGCTCTGACTGGAGGCTGCTCCTGTTCTCCCAGGTGGGGGGAGAATACTTCTTCTTGGTCACATACTGCCGACCGATGGTCCTTTTGGCACTCTTCACCAGATTCTTGGAAAGGGTCCTGGAAAAGACAACGTGGGAGGACCAAAAGGAAATGGTGAGCATTTTTAAATAAACTAAAGTTGCTGATTCAACAGTGTGTCCCATTCACAGTTTCTTGACATCAACTTCCTGTTGGGTCTTTTAGAGCACAAATGTACATTCAGAATTAATCCGTGTCCAACTTCCAGCTGACAATGAGCTGATCTGACTCAATATTCATCTCAGTGCGTCACTGAATTCACTGGTGTGTTGCTGGTTTAGCATGCCACAGGGCCACAGTCAGAGTTAATATCTATGAATGGAGTTTATTTACACACACACACACACACACACACACACACACACACACACACACACACACAGTGCAGAGACAGAAATAAAGGGGCTGATAAAACAGCTGCCACATTTTCCACTGATGCATTATTCAAAGGCTTCTCTCATGCTTATTTCATTGTCCAGAAAGGAAAGAGGGGAAAAGTGTGTGTGTGTGTGTGTGTGTGGTGTTGGTGGTGGTGGTTCCCACTGAGAGTTGGTTCCCACTGTGAATAAGGAATAGAGAAATTAAAAAAAAGATCGAAAATTAAAACGTATGAGACCTTAGGTCAGATCCTGCAGTCATCAGGACAGTTGTAATTAAATATCTGATGCTACATAACATCATTCGATGATTTCTCCGAAGGTCACAGTGACTTCAATGACAGGAGAAGACTACAGCAATATTTTCTCAAACTAGTGTTGTAAATGGAATGTTTCCTCTTTTGGGAATTTACTCTCACTGTATATATCTGTGCTTTCTTATTTGTTGTTAAAGGAACAGTTCAACATTTTAAGAACTAATTAATTTTCTTGCTGAGAGTTGGAAGAAAACTCTCTCATATGTAGGTTAAATATGACGCTACAGGCAACAGCTTGTTAATTTAGCTTGGCATAGAGAGTGAAAATTGGTGCTTTGTCCAAAGGTTAAAAAACAACTACATGTTAAGTGTAATGTGTTTAACCTGTACAAAAACCAAAGCGGTTTTACACGTGGTGTTGGTTGGAGTTTCTGGTGCCTGCCTGGCAGCCTTAGTGGTGGTAGCACACAAATATACATAGCAACCACGGCAGTGAAGAAGAAAGGACTGCAAGATATAAAATACTGACGTAAAGGATGCAAATGTTTTATGAGGAAATGGTTAAAGATTCTGGAGAGAAACATCAAAAATAAACAGAAACTTGTGTTTGTTGACAAGAAAACTGCACGGCACCTGTAAATTGACATCACTGATTTGTGATGATTTTAACCAGCTATAAAAGCAGATCTTGGGCTGGCAGCCTTGAGTGAATTCATGTACTGGGCATAAGTGTTCTGTGCTTGACCGACAAGATATGACAGTGTCAAAGGTTAGGAATAATTTAACAGGCTGTCATTTCCTTCATAATATTAACGCTAATGTCACTGATGGATGGTTTCTTAGAGCTAAACTGGAGGTGTTCTTAGTTCTTTAGTTTCTCTTTCATTAAAAACATTTGATGCACTGACAAGACTGAATTCTCAAAACTTTTCTGCCAACTGACATTAATAAATTCAGCACAGATGATTCCTTACTTGAGTGACTGGTTCTTGTCCTTAGTTTTGTGCTCCACCAACTTGCCACTCTCACCCGTGAAGGCGAAAGTGCCACGGATGTACTGAGGATAACGCAGCTTGTGCAGATGCTTCCTGAAAACCTCTGCCAGGTCTGATGCAACCTCCTCATCAAATGCAATCTTCATTAGCTACAGTGGGACAGAGAAATGTTGAAATCAAAGAAAAAGAGCAGTAAGCACAGAAAAGAGTAAGAGGGACCTGACATTTATGACTGGAGTTGAGGATGTAGGAGTACCTGGAAGGTGCTGGATCGTAGCTGGAGCCCCTCCTGGACAAACTGGTCCATGGGTAAAGTGACTGAGAGCCTCTTCTCCTTGGTCAGAGAGGCAATGGGGAACGAGCGGGTCACCACCTGCTCGCCCACTACAAGAAGGCGTGAGACAAAATGCTGGGGTTTAGAGGATGCACTGATTTGACCTATCAACCTAACAGTGTGAGTGTGCATGTCTCACCCAGTGGGTCTGTAGGCGTGCCCTTGAAGATGAGTCGGTAGGTAGTGAGGAAGATGGCGCCCTCGGCAGGGAGCAGCGGTGGACCTCCCATTTGCCCTGTGGCTTCCTCTCGGCCGTCTGGAATTAGGTGAACCCTCATGCCTTCCATCACCAGTTCCTCGCCCGGCAACAAAGTCGGCCTCAGCAGCTTGGGCTGCAGGAAAACAACAAAAATAAGAGAAGACAACAAGTTGGTTTAATGTTGCAGCAGTGGAAAGAAGTTGAAATCAATCAGGAAGTGAAACCGGAGGATTCCCACTGTAGCACTGATGTTTTCAGATCTCTTTTCTTTCTCCTTTCCTCCTTCTTTAAATGTTTGGCTGAACAAGGTGATCTTCACCTGCTGCCACAATCTTCCTTCATAAATTCAGGTTATTTCTACATGCATGAGAAATGAAGGACGTCTAAAAACAAGAGTATACTGTATGTACTCTGCATACACTACATCTACTCAGGAGATCCGACTTCTTTTTTCTTACATTTTTTATAAAAGGAGGCGTCATGTGATGTAACACACACCGGGAGTGGCACAAATTCAAGACAGGACTACTGAAATGGGCAAGTATTTCAGTATTTGATGCTTTTGACGCGTGTCAATCCACAATGTGTGTGAAAAAATGAATTAGTCCTAAGTAACTGTCAATGTTTTACCCGTCTTACCCCTAATCAACACGTCCATATTAGATCTGATCAACCTCTCTCTATTAACAGGTTATGTTCCACAGGCTTTTAAGCTTGCTGTAATTTAACCTCTACTCAAAAAGCCTAATCTTGACCCAGGTGTTCTAGCCAATTATAGATCGATATCCAATCTCCCCTTTATTTATAAAATTTTTGAAAAAGCTGTTGTAAAAGTCTGCAGGTATATATATACATATACACACACAGTCTGGATTCAATGTATCTATATGTAGAATGTAAACCTACAGGTATTGCACTGAGGGTTTATTGACCAGACATGTATAATAATAATAATAACAGTAAGGTCTAGACCTTACTTTGTAAAGTGTCCTGAGACAACTTTTGTTGTGATCTGGCGCTATACAAATAAAATTGAATTGAATGACTTAAACTAAAAGACGAGTATGTGGAGTCCTACAGGAGAATGTATGTATTGATATTGTGAGACCAAAACAATCATTCCACTCATGCTTTTACAACCATGCTGAGTTACTGGCTGGACGACCAGCACTGTCTGGAGAGTTAGAGTAAAAAACAATGAGGCTCATGTTGAAATAATAAGCACATCAACCAAGCTGAAATGCTGGGGTCTTTCTAAGTCTGAACAGGCCACTTTTAATGACTGTTTCCACAGCAAACATGAAGATAAATGCAGAGAAAGAAGTATATAATAATATTCATTTGGGTGTATTTATCCACTTGGACGTTTTTAGATTTCTTAAAAAACACCAGGACTGTTGTGTTTTGAGTCATTGCTGAGGATCAAAAAGTGTGTTACAGGACTCTCAGTGGGCTGTTGAGCTTTTCTAAATATGAACAGTAGAAAATATGAAGCTGGCTTTGTTCTCTGGCCTTTCACATCACTTCCTGTCCCCCAGTGACATCTGCAGAGCTTCCTAAGAAGCACCACCTCTGACAGGAAATGAATTACAGCTTTGATCATCTGATTCATTGTGTGTTGCACATATCTACATTTCAGCTGCAGCTACACAACAGAAACAGGACAGAGTTTCCACTGTAGACATTTAACTGCTGCCACCCCAGTGGGAGTAAATTCTAAAGAAATGTGTTTCTGTTTTTGCTCATTTCCACTTCCTGGTACTGTTCCTTAAATGCTCAGGATATGAACTTGCTTGTTACAAAGGAAAATGCGAGCACAACCAGGAAAACCTGCTCACATGGAGCTCAATTAACCGGGGGCTGAGCAGTTGCATGTCCCAGTAACAAGCCTTTAGTGAAATGACAAAACATGCCATGCCAAGCTCAGCGTCGCACAGTCCCTCTCCAACACAATGCATAGAGGACTAACACCACCCTTCAGACTGAAGGCACTCAGGTCTGCAGCAGCTCAGGGGGCTAGAGCTCCACTGAGCCTTAGAGACCAAACAGCACAGCAAGGGAGGGCAATCATCCAGCATGCACTGGTCAGATGTGCTGTGAGTCACACAGTTCTGTCTCTGGTAGACAGACATACCTGCCATGACACTGTGAGTCTGAGCTGTAGGGACTGGTGGAGAGGGAAGTGGGCAGGGCTGGCTGAAGTTCTGTATGGCCTTTGTCCAGTGGGACGTAAAAATAGGAATTGGTTACCTTTTGGATCTGAGGCAGTCTCTTACTCTCCCTGTGGACTGCGTCTAACGTCTCGATGTGCATCTGAACAATATCTGCAGGGAAAAACACAGAAGGATGAAGACAGAACAGACATGAGAGTGATGTTTGCTGTGATGCTCTCTGTGGCATGAAAAGAAATCAGGGAGCGTGGCATGTCCTGGTGCTTCCATACCTGGTATCATGGTGTGGAGAGCTTTAAGGTGCTCATTGGTCACGCCGCTCTCATTACACACTTTGTCAACAAAACGGTTGATGAAGCGCACCACAGAGTTGGCCACATCCGAGCTCTCAGCATCTTCAAAGCCGCTCTCTGTGTCATAGCTCTCAGCCATGCTGCCTGCAATGCTACAAGGCAAAAAAACTGCATGAATATTGGATAAAATGAAGTTTACTTAACAGACATTTAATAGCAATGACTGGACGATAGCAGTTTTTTGAGGGAGGAGAGTCTTTACTCAACAGGAATTATGTGTTTACAGGCAGAGCTTGAGATTTTAAAATTCACATCCATCCTCATGAATCTAAAGACATTTCAAATCTAAAAATGGAAATGCACTTATTACAATTTTTACAAGTCTGACCTGCTGATTCCAATCTTATTTCTTTCTATGAACTGTAATTGACAGCATAAACAGACATTTTGGTAACTTTTCTTAAATGAAAAATGTAATTGTAATAAAATGAAACCCTGTAGTCAAGTTTCACATTTTCTGTCTTTAACTCACTTTTTATTTTTTTTTAACAAACCTTGAACTAAAATGAAGTACAATATTTATACTTTTCCAAATACAAGTAGGTTATAGCAACAGAAAAAATGTCTTTTACTACTGAGGACACAGTGTTTGCTGTGTTTTACCACAGGTTGGATACACAGTATGTGTACTATAGTACATTTATTTCACGTGTACTCGGTAATTCCCTCATTGTGTACTAACTGTCAGTGAGTTGGACGTAGTTTCCCTTCTCCGTGGTGTTTCTGTATCCTCCTCTGTGTGCCGTTTGAACCCCAAGCGCTTCCAATACGCAAGTGAACATGTGCCTGGCACAGACATGAGGTGAGCCCTGCTCAAGGTGCATGCGAGATGCTACTTGCTGCACATGCTTTTGCTCTGGACCATTGTGTGCATGACAAGGACTATTGTGCCTCTAAGACTGATCAGCACAGAATGAGAAGTCTCAGAGTGATCTGCTGGTCACAGTGAAAGCCAGTCACTCTGAAAACCGCCCATTCCCGATCTCCGCTGATCAATCGGTGCAACTCCATATAAAAACGTTTTAATAACAAAAACAATGCTACGCTTCACAAGAAGACTATATTAAACATACTAATAAGTTTACTTTGCTGCTAAGGACATTTTAAATGAGAGCCTGACTGATACATAGACGTGCTGATTTTGTCAGAAGTTTAAGCTAATTTCAGATAAATCATAATGGCATTTAAAATGGCCGACAAGTTACTTAAGTAATTAATGTAATGGTAATATGTGATATTAATACAGTTACAACCAGCCACTGTCAGAGGATTTCTAAAGCAAACCATACAAGAAGGATAAACAACAGTCACTACTTGTCCTTTAAAAGCCTACCTGAATAATTTTATTTTTATTTTAGGTACCCATGAAGGCTGGCAGCTGATCGTACCTGTTGGTGACATAGCTGTTGCTGACACTCTCTACATCTCCAAGGCCTGAGCTCCTCAGCAGGCGGTTCTTGCTGGTGTCCAGCGGCAGCAGTAGGTAGCTCATCCTGTTGGCGTAGTGAATGGCCTGGCTGAACACTGTGCTCTCCTCCTTCTGTACACGCTCTGTCTGCATTTCCTTGCTGAGCGTCGGCCACAGTCTACTCTGCTCTGACGCCAGCTCCAGGGCGCTGATTACCCTCTGACCACCTGACCCATTCTGCTGCTCCTGAGAGCAAATCAATCATTAATGATTCATCACCCTAAGGAAAATACAGTGGTGTGAAAAAGTGTTTGCCCCCTTACTGATTTCTTATCTTTTTGCATGTTTGTCACACTGTAATGTTTCAGATCGTCAAACAAATTTATATATTAGTCAAAGATAACACAAGTAAACACATCATGCAGTTTTTAAATGAAGGTTTTTATTATTAAGGGAAAACAAAATCCAAAACTATAGAGCCCTGTGTGAACAAGTGTTTGCCCCCCTGTCAAAACACTGGTTTATCGCACCTGAGTTCAATTTCTCTTGCCACACCTGTTCGCAATCAAGAAATCACTTAAATAGGACCTGCCTGACAAAGTGAAGTAGACCAAAAGATCCTCAAAAGCTAGACATCATGCCGAGATCCAAAGAAATTCAAAAACAAATGAGAAAGAGAATAATGGAGCTCTATCAGTCCGGAAAAGGTTATAAAGCCATTTCTAAAGCTTGGGGACTGCAGTCTCCTTCAGGATATTTTGGTACACAGCAGAATTCATGGTTCCACTTATCACAGCATGTCTTCCAGGGCCTGAAGCAGCAAAACAGCCCCAGACCATCCCATTACCACCACCATATTTTACTGTTGGTATGATGTTCTTTTTCTGAAATGCGGTGTTACTTTTACGCCACACATAATGGGACACACACCTTCCAAAAAGTTCAACTTTTGTCTCGTCTGTCCACAGAGTATTATCCCAAAAGTCTTGGGGATCATCAAGATGTTTTCTGGCAAAACTGAGACGAGCCTTTATGTTCTTTTTGCTCAGCAGTGGTTTTCGTCTTGGAACTCTGCCATGCAAACCATTTTTGCCCAGTCTCTTTCTTATGGTGGAGTCATGAACACTCACCTTAACTGAGGCAAGTGAGGCCTGCAGTTCTTTGGATGTTGTTGTGGGGTCTTTTGTGACCTCTTGGATGAGTTGTCGCTGTGCTCTTGGGGTAATTTTGGTCGGCCGGCCACTCCTGGGAAGGTTCTCCACTGTTCCATGTTTTCGCCATTTGTGGATAATGGCTCTCACTGTGGTTCGCTGCAGTCCCCAAGCTTTAGAAATGGCTTTATAACCTTTTCCGGACTGATAGAGCTCCATTATTCTCTTTCTCATTTGTTTTTGAATTTCTTTGGATCTCGGCATGATGTCTAGCTTTTGAGGATCTTTTGGTCTACTTCACTTTGTCAGGCAGGTCCTATTTAAGTGATTTCTTGATTGCGAACAGGTGTGGCAAGAGAAATTGAACTCAGGTGCGATAAACCAGTGTTTTGACAGGGGGGCAAACACTTGTTCACACAGGGCTCTATAGTTTTGGATTTTGTTTTCCCTTAATAATAAAAACCTTCATTTAAAAACTGCATGATGTGTTTACTTGTGTTATCTTTGACTAATATATAAATTTGTTTGACGATCTGAAACATTACAGTGTGACAAACATGCAAAAAGATAAGAAATCAGTAAGGGGGCAAACACTTTTTCACACCACTGTATGACAATGCTCAGCAAGCTGGGAGACTGAATTATTTGTCTGCTAGCAGTGGAGAGATTTCTTTATTTTTTAAATCACAACAATGTGCTAAAATAACACTCTCATCATTTCTTTGTTTACTCACATCACATCTGACAGAGGTGAGTACAGTGTAAACTAAGTGCTCACCAAGCTGTTCTGCTGCTCTCCGTCCACCGTTTCCAGGTACAGAGCCCTGATGTGGTTCTGGACATCACTGTAGAACATGGCCTCCCAGAATTGCATGGTGGTCCACACCATGTGTTCCTGCACACAGCTGTAGGCAAACTGAGTGATGCCTGCCCCCAGTTTCTGTCAAAGAAAAGAGATTTTTGAGGAGACCATCTACTTTACTTTTCAGAAGAGCTCAGTGACAGACAGCATGAGGGACATCCCACACCCTGTCCCCATAGAGTGGTTCTTAGCTGAATTTGGGGAAAGTGAAATGACTTTGGTGATGCTGGTTATGAACTTACTCTGCAGAAGGCTGTGACCAGTGGAAGGAGGGCAGCTGCAATGCCGTGTTCATCCATATGTGAACAGTCCTGAACAAAAACAGATAAGCACCACATCACACTAGACCTGAGACACTTCAAATGATGTCACAACTTAATCATATACCAGAAATGCATCCAAAATACAATATCTAAGGATTATTGTTAAACTATTCGTTACAATGTATGTGCTTCATTTCGTTTTTGAGCTCAAATCATATATAATAACAATCATTTTCATTTATTACTAAAAGGAACAAACAAGTAGCTGCAGACGCAACATAAATGCTCCCTTTATGTTACTGAGGTAATTCCTCTTGTAGTTTACAAAGCACATTTAAATGTTGTAGCTGAAAACACTTTGTGTTTTAGCTGAGGGGTTGTAGTGTCTTCAGGATGTACCTGTAAGGTGCAGTTCATCATGCGCACAATGTAGTCAAACTGCTGGTCATCCAGAACAGCCCGGTTCTGTAGGACATGTTGACTGAGCTCCTGGGTCAAACAAATACGGGCTGCCCGACCTTTCAACGCTCGCAGTACAGCTGGCATTAGCTGGACAAAGAAGAAAAAAAGACCCCACTATATACACCGTACACAATCACTTGAAAAATCTGAGCCTTTAGCAAATGGCAAGCTTACAGTGCATTCTTGAACTTAAGGCTTGAACCACTAGAAAGCAGATCCTCTTTTTTTTTTTTTTTTGCAAGTAATGAAAAATTTACTTTAGGGTGACTTTTTCCTGAACAGGTGGTAAGTTGGTATGCAGTGTTTTGCAATAGGATTCAATAAAGTGTATGCTCAGTCAGTCTGGCCCTGCAGAGATGCATCACTCTCACCTTCTTGGCCTCCAGCATCTTGTTCTCGAAGATGTACGTGATGCAGTTCCTGACCACCTCCAGCCTGCGGGCGCTGTTAGCTATCATGTTGCTGTTTCTGTCCACAGTGTCTTCTGCAGAGATGGGGAATAGTAGGTGATCATTCATCACTGCAGTACTGAATTCAACTGCATTAAACACATAGTAGGAGACAGAGTGTGTAAATGAAAGGTTTGCACAGGAAGTCTGAGGTGCAAGGGAAGATGATGAACTTGGTGTATAGGTTTTACAAACACCCACAAAGTTTTATAAAGCTTTTACCACTAACACCTTTGTTATAACCATATGCTTTTTCTAGTCTTCATATTTTGACTGAATATAGTCTGGGTTCCCAGATATTTCAAGTCTTGCAAAGTACTGTGTCTTTGTAAAAGCATTTTTGCACACTTTCAAGTATTCATTGATGATACATAGCCGTTTTCTGTTTATAAAGAGCCTTTTCCACCTGGTTTCTGGTCATTTGTGTGACTTAAAAATGGTTTCACAAGCTAAGAACATTATGTTTATAGCATTCAGTGACTGAATGCAATTACAGACTAACACAAACGCAGTTTCAGCCCCTCAATCCTCGTCTTAGCTCACCCAATGGAGGCCCAGATGGCACCGTGCCCTTGAGCTCTGCCTTGACCACAGGAGGTGCAGTCTTGAGCTTGGCAGCAGCGTGGTCAATAAAGAGCTGCACCGCAATCTCATCCAGCACAGGGAAGGATTTCTGATTCTGTACAGGGTTCTGGCAGTTTTCTGATGGTCGCTGGACTTTGTGCATCGTCACAGTGGGGTAGGGATTCTCCTGAAGAAGGGGAACAGAGAATCACAGTAAAAATAAATAAATAGAAAATAAGGAGAAGACATATAAACCTAAATCTTGGTGGTGGAAAGTAAGGAACCGGACAAACTCAAAAATACAGTCATGTGCAAAAATACTGGCACCACTGCATTTCTGTCAGATAATTTCTGGACCAGTTCTCCCAGAAATTTGTTACAAACACAAATTCTTTGGTATTTTCATGTGTATTTCTTTTGTTTGCATTGGAGTACCACATAAAAGCAGAGGGGGAAAAAGCCAAATTTGATCCATTCCACACAGAACTCCAGAAATAGACTGGACAAAACTGACACATTTTCAATATCATCAGAGATAGTTGTATTTCAAGTATGTGTTGCTCCTTTAATTTGTAATGAAACTCACCTGCAGCAATTAACAGGTGCTGGCAAAATACAATTGCAAACAGTTAAAAATGGAAAAAGGTTGACTCAACCTTTGTGTCATGTGGACCACACTGAGTATGAAGAAAAGAAAGAAGAGCAAAGAATTGTCTGAGGATGTGAAAACCACAATAGTGGAAAAGCCTGGACAATCTCAAGGCTACAAGTCCATCTCCAGAGATCTGGCTGTTCCTGTGTCGACTGTGCGCAACACTGTCAAGAGGTTGACAGCCCATGGTGCTGTAGCTAATCTCCCTGGACGAAAGAGGAAAAACTGATGACAGATTGCAATGAAGGACTGTTTGAATGGTGGATAAAAAACCTTGATCACCGTCCAAACAAATTCAAGCTTACCTACAGGCACAGGATACAACAGTGTCAGCTCACACTATCCATCACCATCTGAATGACAAGGTACACTATGGTAGGAGACCCAGGGGCCTCACTGCTGACACAGAAACATAAAAAAGCCAGACTGGAGTTTGCTAAAACTTACCTGAGGAAGCCACAATCCTTCTGGGACAATGTCCTTTGGACAGATTAGACTAAAATAAAGCTTTGTGGTCGAGCATATCATTCTACTGTTTTCAGAAAACAAAGTGAGGCCTTTAAAGAAAAAACATGGCCCCTACAGTCAAACATGGCAGAGGTTCACTGATATATTGGGGTTGATTGGCTGCTTCAGGCACTGGACATCTTCACTGTGTGTCTGGCATTATGATATCTGAGGACCACCAGTGTCAGAAAGTTGGGTCTCCATCAGAGGTCATGGGTCTTACAGCAGGACAATGACCCAAAGCAGACTTCAAAAAGCACCTAGAAATGGTTTTAGACAATGAGCTGGAGAGTTCTAGAGTGGCCAAGAATGAGTTCAGATCTAAATCCCATAGAGCAGCTGTGGAGAGATCTCAAACCAGCGGATGAGAGAAGGAACCCTTCAAATCTGAGACCTGGAGCAGCTGGCAAAAGAAGAGTGGTCCAAAATTCCACCGAAGAGGTGTAAGAAACTCACTGATGGTTACAGGAAGCTACTGATTGCAGTTATTTATCCAAAGAGTGTGCTACCAGACATTAAGTTGAGGGTGTCAATAATTCTGTCCAGTCCATTTTTGGAGTTCTGTGTAGGATATATCAGATTGGGCTTTTTCCCCTCTGCTTTTTTCTGTTCTTCCAATGCAAACAAAGGAAATAAACATGAGAACACAAAATAATTTGTGATTGCAACAACTTTCTGGGAGAAGTGGTGCGTTTATCTGACAGAAATGCAGGGTTGTCAATATCTTTGACAATGACTATGATAGAGAGGGATATGTCTCATGCCGTTATTTCAGTAAGAGAGGGAGAGAAACAGACAAAAGGGAAACAAAAGGAGTGAAGCACAAAGAGAATCAACAGATTAAAAGAGGCAGAAACTTGTGTGACCTACATTTTTGAAAAGCTGCTCAGCCAGCTCCTTTACATGGTTCATGACTTTATGCAGACAGGCCTCCTCTTGTCGTATTCGCTCCACCTGATTGGCTACCAACTGTGGAATCACAACAAAGTAGTAAGCTTACCTCAAATCTCAGCATGTTTCCTTCAGAGCTCAGTCAATTACGTTGACTGCTACCAGATAAATCGGCATGTCAAGACAAAAAAAAGAGCTATTGTAGAGTGTGGATTTGAAATTTTAAAAGATACATATTTGGTTATAAAATAAAGGTAACTGGAGTTCCACAAGTGGGCGCCTGTTTTGTTGATTTGTGCTGACAAATCAACAAAACAGATTTGTCTGTTCTGACTTGCTGTTTTTTAACAACCCTAGCTCACCTTTAACAGAAACATCCACACACAAAATAAGAGTGAAGTGGTGTGCATTGTGCTGACAGACTCACATCATCAAACAGGTCAGTGGCTCTATAAGGAGGCCCCCTCTCTGACACAAAACTTGCAAAAGCCATACCATCCAACACCTTCATGAGGAAGTCATCCTCTGCCAGTGCCCTCTGGCCCAGGAAGGCGGCCTGTGGAAACACACATTAGCACTTATCTGATATTCTCACATACTTTTAGCTTCTCATTGAATATATTTTGCACAGTGCTGATGTAGTATTATTTACAGCGGGGTTGTCTTTCTGTACCTTATGGAAGCGGATCACTGGTTCGGGGTGAATGCGAATGATGTGTAAACACCAGCGATAGCCCTGGAGAAGCCGAGCAAACAGCCACAGAAAGACTGCCCGGATCTCCTTATCCTGAAACATCATGCCAACAAGACAACATTTTGCACATTTGCCAGCATTTTTAATTACACCAAAAGTTTGTCCTGAGGGATGGTATACAAAGCAATTACCTGTTAAAGTTAATACTTTCCTACTATGTTGACTGTACTGACTAAATTCAGAAAAACTACAAACTTTTTCATTTTGAAATCTCTCACCAGGGATATGAAAAGACTGAATGCTTTCAAAACCTCCTCACTGACAGAGGGTTTTTCTTACCTGGATCTTGAGAGCTGAGGGTTGTGTGGACAGTGGGGGGAAGGCATAATCAGCAACTTCCAGCTCTGGATCCAAAATCTACAACAACATGAAGACACCATCAGTCACTACTACTTGCTTGTCCCTGCTGCATCAGTGGAATTTTGTTTAATTTAGTCTTTTTTTTTTTTTTTTTTATTTAACAGTAGCTGTAGCCCTTTTCTAAGCCACTTTACCCACAGTGGCTAGAGTAGCTAATGATAATTATTCTGCTCTTGTAGGTATTTTTTTTCAAAACATGAATGTCCTATCAAATTAAAACTAATTAACTACTGCATGGTCAGCTGTAGCACCAACACATCCAGACGTAATCAACAAATACTATTCCCTGGAAATAGTCTTTGAAAGGCTCAGGGCCATTACATTAATATCTATTCTGTCAACTGTATTGAGGGCCAAGCAGCTAAGCCCTGGTTCATGGTTGCTAACCCCACAATCTAGAGTATCATCGTTCCTGCAACCTTTCAGACCATTTAACAAATTAAAAAAATCACTACACAAAGTCACTGATCAGTTCTCCAGCTCATTTAAGTAGGGGAGGTCAGTCCCCATCTATATCAACTGATCGGACTGGCTGACTCTTTTGTTTAGTCCACTACAACCTAACCAGCTCTGAATCTGTTCAGTCAAAGCTAAAATCCTGTAGGTTATAAATCTGTGTTGTGTCCATACACACAGCCCTAGTGACTGAGGACACAGGCCCATAACCCAGTGAACGTCTCTTTGACACTTTCCAGTTTTCATCCCATCTATACAGAGCAATGATCAGGACACACAAGAGTCTCCAGGCTATAAGTCACACAGAGCAGCCAATAACAGAACAGCCCCAAACACAAAAACAGAAAGGATGATAGGTTTGATGATGAAACTATTTTAAATCTTTTCTTAGATGCATTTTTTAGCCTTGACAACTTAGGCATTTAGCAGATGTTCCAGTAATTAGGCTGCAGTTCAATGTCTTGGTTGAGGACACTGACATAAATCACAAAAGCTTCTGTCAGGATTGTGCACAAAAACACATTTGACTTTTAACCTTTTTTATGTGGCAGCAGTTTTAAAAATGTGTTTAGGTTCACTAGCAAAAAGAGAAGTGATTAAACCACACTATTACTGAAACCTGACAACATGTACAATGACCACTGTAATCACAGGTTTCAATCTAATCACTTATATCATAAGACACGATACATGTATAAATAAAAACAGAACAATTCTCACAGAATCTGTGGATCAGAATGAAATCACTAAGATAAAGCAATTAAAATAATAAAATTAAATGTAAAGATAGAAGAACATTACAAGGTTGTACAGAAATCATTGTGACTCGGCTTGTGCCTGAGTTTGTAGCAGGTTACAGGCTGTGTTCAATGACGGCTGATGAACATGAGCCTACTTTCTAGCTTGTTGAAGTAACAAAAAAAAAAAGGACAATGAATGAATGTATGATTAGAAAAAAAATCTCCAGATCAAAATTCGGGCAGCATCCAAACACACTTGGCATATCTGAGTCGAGAGAGAGTGGATGCCAACTCCAGCCTCTCCCAAATAAACACATCCTAACCTCTGCCCCAGTCCCATCACAACTCTTCAAAAAATCCAACACTGCGTTACCAGCAGGAAGAAACTGTCCTCTGGTTTGTGCCAAGCCTGTTAATCTTTTATTGGTCTCCCATCATTTATACAGAAACAACAGTCAAATAAAATGAATCATCAGTTACAGTCTGCAAATAAAAACATCACACCACCATTAAAAGGATGTCCCCAGCATTTCCCACCCAGTACAACCAACATGGGGTGATGGTGTTTATACTAAATTACTTTAGTCTTGTTTAAAATTTTGTATATTTTCATGACCATGATGAAGAGCACTGGAGAAGAGACAAATGAAGTTCTACTGTTTTGTGGTATTTTGGAGATTTTTCTTTCTTCTTTGTCTTTTTTGTTTTGAAATGCTGGATAAGTTTGAAGGGTAAATATCTCTTTAGAGGAACTGCTAACAACTCACACTGAAATGCGACAAGGGGCTCTAGCTAGACAGTACTTTCACGTATGTGGTCACAAGCTAAATGGTTGAGAACTGGTTTACATTACAACACTGTGTTGTAATTTAAAGGTTCATGATATCTATAATATTGATCTGAAAAGTAGTTGGTAACTTCATTCATCAGACAAATATGGGGGAGAAAATTGTACATTATTTGAACTGTGAGTAAAAGTATAGAAGCATAAAATAAAAATACTCACAGGAAGGTCATCAAATTGCACTAAAGTACTGTACTTGCACAAATAAATTGTATTTTCATTCTCTCAATATTTTTAGCACTGATTTGATTTTATTCTCTTACAGTATTGTATTGCTGTGATTTATTTAATCCCTTTTGACATTGCTTAGCTAAATAAGATAAATATCACATTTTAGTTAACGTTTAGAAGCAGCAGCACAATCTGGACTTTGCAAATGTTCTCTATGTTCACTTGCAATTCTGCACAACAGGCCCATCAAGTTGCATGAACACAATAAGTGACCCAAAAATTTCCTTCCAAGACTTTAATCCTGTTTCCGATCCTCCCTGTATAGTTCTGACTTTCTACTGAAGCTTGACTTTCTGGAAGAAGTGCTGTTTTTATTTTAATTTGTAGAGATGTTTTCACTTTGAAAGCTTTCTACTGTTAATTAAAATGAAAATATCCTCATTATGTCCTATAGCTTTCAGTGTAGTAAAGGAATAAAGCATAAAAATGTTATGGAGATTGACTGCTATTTATAGGAGCTGTATATTGCTGAGAGTTTATCTTACAGACTATTTATCACTCTGCACTGTAGCACGTACCCTGGCAGAACAGCAGGAAACATTCAATAAACTACGACCAGGCTGCCAAAAAGCCCAATAATAAATCATCATTTTGTTTTACATGTGACTATAATCCTACTTGTTTATAGTGTATCTAGTAAATTATATGACTGAGTATCTTATCAAACACTGGGGCCAATTTCCTGCAACAGTTCTATTGAGATTGACATTCCTGAGACATTCAATGAAATGAGCAACAACAAATCCCACTAATTACATGTACATCCCGTATCTGTTGTGCATTCTGCATCTATCAAATAGGAGAATGAGGAAGCCATCTACTGGTTACACACTTAAACAGATTAAAAAGCCTTTCTCAGAATGGGCTGGCACTGGAATACTGGAAAGGGCTGAAACTCCAGGAGCAGTAAAGTGCTTGATATGAGCTGGCGTTGTTCCAAGTGCTTGATATGAACACAACAGTGCAGTGAAAGAACACTTAACAGGAAACTATTTACTTCTGCTCTTTACTTAACTTGTCATTCACCTGAAAAGCACTGTGGACTGCATGCACAAAAGGTGCCATACATATAAAGTATGACTCATATTTTTAAAAAGCATACCAGTCTGAGATAAAGACTAAGCAAAGATTCACCACTAAGCATTTGTAAAACAAAAAAGCCCCATAAAACTGGAAAAAATGAATGCAAAGAAATAGGAGGAAAACTAATCTCTGAGGAGCTTCCTGGCAAAAAGCATCACAGGGGAACTTACTGCTTGGCAGAAAAACTTCCTTGTACTTATTAGTATCATGTATTATGGGTGAGCCCAGGGTTTAGGTTGCAGCTCTTACCATGGAGAGCAGAGTCTGGGTCTGCTGAAGGAGTGGTTCAGGAAGCAGGGAGATGTGGACACACTCAGGGATGGTCACCGTGCCACCGTCAAGGTCGGCGATAATCACATCCAACTGAGGACAAAACACACACGGGTACGCACTCATTATCTCAGCTTTTAAGAAAAAAAAATGCAAATCAGCATGATACACAAAGCTGATTACAGCAAGTGAAAGCCAAAGAGGCAGGCAGAGAGAAGCATCTGTCAGCAGCTGCTCATTAAATTGATGCTAGTTATC